AAAGTAATTCTGTCATGGTCAAAGCTGACTTACACCTTTTGGAGTGGGACACTGGACCTGTTTTCCATAAGATTGGTGAGGTTTCTTACAGGAGCGTTCAGAGATACGTCTAACTCACATTTGGCCAGAAACAACTCAACAGGAGGACACCAACTCAAAGACAAGTAGTTACTTCAGGATTAAATTAGCAAGAAGGTCTGGGTGGGAAAATTTTAAAAAAGCTTTTAGTAAGTAGAGATGACTACAAGGAGATCTCAATTTTAATAAAACTCTCAGTTTTATTCTAATTTAGGGATGCCTTTAAGAGGAACAGGACAAAAGAATTAGATATCCAAGCTTCTATTCTCTAACTAGGCAGGCCACTACAAAAATCTGTTGAGCACTTTATGATAGTTGCATAAGAAGACATGGACAGCTTATGACCAAAGAACAGATGAGCAGGTACTAAACAGTGTTACTTAAATGTAACCAGGAACACAATTTAAACCTGTTTGTGAAAACTGCAGGTCTGGAGGTTTTAACTGGAGCTCTAAAAGACGACCAGTGCAACGTGAACTTCGTTTTACTGGCAATCCATCAACACGCAGCAACAGTGAAGTTGTATTTGAGGTCAGCAGTTAGTACATCCTGCATCTCAGAGAATGCTTCAAGAGGTAAGCACTACAGAAACATCAATCATGAACAGGGGAAAATACTTCCAAAAGGAAACCGAGCGGTTAGCATCAGTCTTGGGGAAAAAAAAAAAAAACAAACAAAACACAACACACAAGGAGAAATGAGCATTCAAAAGGTGGCTTACAAGCCTGACCAGAAATATTTTAAAAAAGGCAAGTTGAAAACATCTTATTCATACCAATTACCCAGGAAAAGCACCAGTATAATTTAGCTGCTTAAATGTGACATGCAAGTTCATTAAAATCATTCAATCACACTACTGCACCAACACAACAGTGACATCAGATGACAAACCTGGTTTTCTTCTTGCAAAACTCTGTACTGCTCCTTCCAAATGGTGATTTTTGAAGCTTCGTCTTTCCTCAGAGCTCTCTCCTTTTTTAGCTCAGGACTCCAGAAGGTCTTGATGCTGTTCATGGAAGAACTCAGCTTGCTTTCTTTCACCTCCACATCCTTGCGAAGCAGATCGTTCTCCCTCAACACTTCCTTGAGTTGCGTCTGCAGATCCATTATTGTGTTATCCCTGGCCTGGCGCAGCGAGTGAGGCACGGTGGATGCCATGCTCACTGGAGGGAGGTGGTGCTCTCCAAATGCAATAGTATCACTGGCAACTCCACTACTGGCAATGTTAGGGCTGCTCCCCATCGCAGTCATCCTAACGCCGTAAGGCAGCCGCCCCCCCGATCGGCCCAAAGTCATGGTGCTTTTTGGGGTGTCTGCACCCACGTTCTCATGGTCACTCAGGTACATCGGGCCAGACGTTGCATAGGCAGCATTTAAGGACTGAATGTTTTCCATAGAAAGGGTTTTCCCACTGCCACCCCCAGTACTACTCCCAGAACTGCCTCCTGTGCTGTTGGTTCGACGATGGCCCAAGCGTGGTGACCGTGGCAGCCTTGGTGAACGCCCTGGACTCTGGTTGCTTGGCTCAACCTTACCAACCGACCGAGCACTTCCATACATGATTAAGCTGGTGGTGTGAGGCAATTAGGCATAAAAATCAGGAATGAGAGAAATCCTGGTAAGTTCTTCAACGGTTTTAAGTCAGCTTAAGGCCAATCACGACTTGTAACAGACCCCGTTGTCCATCTTTGAAGTCACGTGCTCACGATGTTCAGGACCATACCTGTATCAATAAAAATAACATATTAAAAACTGTATCAATAAAAATAACATATTGAATACCTAGTTTATCACAAAATACTTTGTCTCACATTACAATAAAGTGTATTCTACTACCTTTACATCTCTCCAGCACCTTTTCAATTCCCACTCACAAAAAAGCAGCCTTTTATTTAAACCCTAATATTTAAACTCAAAAAGGAACTTCTATCCTTGTTTTTCTGTTGTTATCACAGTAAAGAGAGAGAGAGGGGAAAAAAGAACTCCTCACTTTTCAAGTCATAATTTTGCTGGATGACCTGAACTCCACAAAAGTAGTCTAACTTTTTTCCTGTTTTTTTCTGTTGTTATCACAGTAAAGAGAGAGAGGGGGAAAAAAGAACTCCTCAATTTTCAAGTCATAATTTTGCTGGATGACCCGAACTCCACAAAAGTAGTCTTAACTTTTTTCCTAACTGGCCCTAATTCTTTATCTGTTACCTTTCCGAGTAAGGGAGACAACAAAATTTAAAGCCCATTCAGTAGTATTTTTTTTTTTCTTTGAGTGCTGCTGGCTTCCATAAGACACAGTTTCCAAACCCTGTTGCTGTGAAAATAATCTTGCAGGATGGACTGAAACGATTCCGATCACAATCTTGACTAGCAGGTCCCTTCGGCGTTGCTGACAGCCCTCCTTCCAACTCAGAAGTCAAAAGCTAAGAACCATTAATTAAGAACCATTAACTAAGAACTACTCAATCATTACTGACCACAAAGCTTAAGTATAGCTACAACTTTGAAAGGAGAGTAATCACACAGCAACGGCACCACTACTCAATCATTACTGACCACAAAGCTTAAGCTAGTATAGCTACAACTTCGAAAGGAGAGCAATCACACAGCAAGGGCACCGATGAGGTTAAGAGGAACAAGACAATCACACCCGCACTGAATCCCAGTTCCAGTCTCTTATTTTCTCTGGAACTGGGATTCAGTCCTAAACACAAGTTAAAGATTTAAGGTTAAACCAAGATTTCAATCAAAATATACTTCTCATTAACCAGCTCAGATTAACTTCATTAAATAATATCATTCCAACAGCAGGGATCTCTTAAGACACAGAACAGCATGCCATCATCACGCTGCAGCTCCTCCTCCCCTCTACTTTTCCTGTAAGCATGGACTCTGGTAGCTATGCAATAAAATTCCTTATTTTTGCACATTAGGCTGTTCCACAGGTGCTAGCAAGTAACTCTGTAGTAGAGGGGCACTGGGTTGAGACCACTCTTAGTAACCAAGATCTAGTAGAGGAGCGAGAAACAGGGATGAAACCCACTCTGGTGGCTGAACTACTGCACGGTAGAACTACTCCCACTAGAGAGTTGTCTTTTTTTTTTTCTTCTATTTTTTCCACTGTGAACTATTTCAAGCCACTCTTGGGTTCAACCAAAATCAAAACTAGAACACTGAAACGTTCCTGGTCTGACCTCTTCCCGTTAGATGAAAGAATACCAGATAGTGTCCAAAGAGCATCCGCATATTATACATCCCAACATCTTCTCCTTCACACCAGCTTTCATCTAGCCTCACCTTCTGCTCAGAAGTTAGGTTTGCCAGATATTAGGAATCAATTTTTCTGAACCCTGTGGCATGTTTGGGAGAAAATAATTGGGCAAGCAGACGAAAGATTAGGCTTAAGAGAGGAATACACTTACCAAAGAGATTGCAGAAGCAGTAAAAGTGGGTGGAGAGGAAGAAACAAAAAAAATAATATTGCAAAAAATACTGGAAATGGATAGAAAGAAAAAAAGTAAAAGCCTGATGAAGAACAGGTACAGTTTTTCCTCTCAGAAACAAGTCAGTATAGGAAAAGATACAACAAGAAATAGTTTTAAAATGTTTAGCTTAAGATTAAATGGAAAACAAGCTTAGGCTAAGCTAGCATTTTTTCCATTTTTTCAGTGTTTCATAGAGGATACAATAGCAGTGATTTTACAATAGGAGTAACTTTACAAAGCTTATGGAAGCTGGTGCCGTTTTGTGGGGAGTCCTCAAGAAGTTCAAGTGCTTGTTTCTCTCACTTTCTCCTTTTAATAAATAATCACCAAAGCTAGCAACAATCCTACTATGGAATATTTCAAACATATATATAAAGGAAAACAAGCCAAGGAAAGAGAGCCAGCAGCATTAATAATTGAAGTTAGCTACGAAAACACCACCTATAGCAGGGGATTTTTTAGTACGAGTTACAGTTAAGACATTTCTTCTATTTCAGCTACAAATCCTTATGCAAAACAGTACAGAAATATAAACTACGCAACAAAGTCTGCAGTGTTTCACTGAAGTTGCTTCAATAAGCAAGACACTATGCCTCAGATCTTGAAAAAAAACACAAACCACACTTTTCCCAAACAGAAAAGCTATTTCAGACTAATCTCACTGTCTGAGATCTCAAAATGCTAAAAACCCTGCCGTGACACCAGCTGAACACCCTAAACAAGTCAGACATGATTTCTTAGACACCACTCAAAGTATGTTCGACTGAAAACTTGCCTTTGGGAGGATTCTCTTGAAAATTAACCCAAATCACAGTGCTCAATTCATTTCCTAGAAAATCCCCACAGTAAATCAGTGTAAACACTCATTCACTTCACAGCTCTAAATGAGTTGAAGTTGAATCAAAAGATTAGACATTTATTCCGTGCGTTTTAGCTAAAGCACTTGCCCCAAAAAACATTAAGTTTAAATGTTGGTAGAAGTACATCACTGCTGCATGCACAAGCATCACCTGGAAAAGCGCTTAAAAACACACATGAAGCACACAAAGGATTTTTAGATCGTTTCTAACGAGTTAATCATCCCTAAACCAGAAAAGTGTCATTTAAACTCATGGAATTGCTTTTACTAACCTTTTAAATTTAAAATTTAATTTTAAATTCCTTTTTAATTTTTTTAATTTAAATTTAAATTAATTTCAATTTAAAAATTTTGTAATTGTTTTACTAACAGTTTTGTGGGACTATTAATAGCTTTCCAAAGAATGAAAATGTTTGATGTCCTTGAAAGAAAAGTAGCTTCCCAGGCAGCTGAAAGGAGCTGGTGTCACAGCAGGTGCTGTGCAGCAACATCTTCCAATATACTGGGCAGGTAGGTTGTCTCTTGTCCACCTTAAGTGGAAACACCAGTCCTGTGCTAATTCAGCTCCAAGCTTTGCTCTTCACAGGTAGGCACCATGCCCTCTGTTACTCCAGAAAAATCAAATAATTCAAGCTATGAAAGCCAACTGCTAGAATTAGCTGTCAATTAGGGTTACAGAGAGGATTCCCAGAGCGGACACACGTGAAAAATCAGGGAGAACTCCTCCGACATCACTGCCATCGCCGCCACATCTTACACTGCACTCGCTTTTCAACAGCAAAACCAAACAAAAGCAGTGGCCTAAGCAAAGTATTTGGAAACAAGCAAATACTTTGAGCAGCCCTGAGGAAAAGGACTTGGGAGTGCTGGTGGATGAGAAGCTCAACATGAGCCGGCACCGTGCGTTGGCAGCCCAGAAAGCCAACCGTGTCCTGGGCTGCATCCAAAGCAGCGTGGGCAGCAGGTCGAGGGAGGTGGTTCTGCCCCTCTGCTCTCGTGAGACCCCACCTGGAATACTGCGTTCAGCTCTGGAGTCCCCAGCACAAGAAGGACACAGAGCTGCTGGAGCAGGTCCAGAGGAGGCCACAAAGATGATCCGAGGGCTGGAGCACCTCTGCTATGGAGACAGGCTGAGAGAGTTGGGGCTGTTCAGCCTGGAGAAGAGAAGGCTCCGGGGCAATCTTCTAGCAGCCTTCCAGTATTTAAAGGGGGCCTACAGGAAAGCTGGAGAGGGGCTTTTGACACAGGTACATAGTGACAGGACAAGGGGCAATGGCTTTAAATTGAAAGAGGGGAGATTTCGATTAGATATAAGAAAGAAATTTTTTACATTGAGGGTGGTGATGCACTGGAACTGGAGAAGTTGTAGGTGCCCCATCCCTGGAAGTGTTCAAGGCCAGGCTGGATGAGGCTTTGGGCAACCTGGTGTAGTGGAGGGTTTCCCTACCCATGGCAGGGGGGTTGGAACTAGATGATCTTTGAGGTCCCCTCCAACCCAAACCATTCTATGATTAGCAAATCTAACCCTCCAGTATTTCTCTTGAAATGAGTACTTTCATTACACCATTTTTAGACTTAATATTTAGAATATTCCCAATTTTAAACTAAATACATCCTTCCAACCATGCAGGCAGTTTCAGTATTTTCACCGATGCAGAGATATGTCATGGTTCAAGAGAAAAAAAAAACAAAAACCAAAAAACAACATGTTGCAAAGATAAATATCTTAACTCTTTTTTTTTTTTTCCTAGTAGCATGTATCACTGGCCATTTCACTTTGCTGCTATTAGGAATCCATAAGCTGAAGGAGATATTAAGACACTCAACACTAGGAAAAAGATCATTCATCCTGGAAACTGCAAAGTGAAGGAAGTGACAGAAACACTTTTTCTTATTTGCAATATCAATTAATCAGGAAGATGAAAGAGTTCTAATTTCTCACCAGGAGTCCAAGCAAAATTGCACGGAAAATTTCTTTCACACAGTGACATAACCAGAAAAGTTAGTTTTTCAATATTCTGACCCACACTAGCATTTTACTAGGAATCCTAGAAGTATGGTCTCTTATAGAATCATTTAGGTTGGAAAAGGCCTTGAAGATTATCAGGTCCAACCATTAACCTAGTACTGCCAAGCCCACCACTAAATCATGTCCTTAAGT